CTGTCCAGAAGCCGGCGACTGATCGGCCTCGCCCAGGAAGAGCGCAATGATGGTGCCAACTTGGGCCAGTGAAGCAACGTCCTCCACAACTAGGCTGAAGAACAAAAATGACAGCAACTTGTCTGTTCCCCTTCGCCCAATTCCCCAGCGCTGTTCCCATCCTCCAATTCCCCAATAAAAATCTTTAAAAAAAAAGGGGGGGGGGAGTTTAAACAGCACCTACCTCACAGAGTCGTTGAGGATTAAGTGAACCAATGCATGCACAGTGCTTAGGACCTAGTAAATATTCCCTCCCTTCAACAAATAACATAGCCAAACAACTCAGGTGTCTGATTTTGAGAAGCTTATACAGCCCTTTGGAGGCCTTAGTTTGCTTGCCTGTGAAATGGGGCTAAGAACTACACTGAACTCAGCACCACAACTTAGTGTGTGCAGATTAAAGGAGATGGAGTATGTAATGTGTACAGCTGGCGCCTGGTAATTATTAAATCTGTTGTACTGTTTTTTAGTTCCTTTCTCTGACTACCCCCACCCCTAGACTGTTAACAAGTTAAAAAGGAGCCGGGAGTGAAGCTTGAGAATTTAATTCCAAATCGATTACCTCCAGGATTGTTTCTCCCCATCCCAGATGGGGGCTAAATAGAGCTTTTCTGATTGTCACAGTTGAGATGCCAGGACTGAGTTTGGAGGACCCCAGTTGGCCACCCCTGGCCAGGACAGAGTGGTAGGTGTGGATAGAGGTGGAGCAGCAACAGAAGGGAGGCAGGTGGGTTTGCAGAAGATTGGGGCAGAGTGGGAGCCACCTGGGCCCACCTTCCCACCTCACCTTCAGGGCCCCAGGCCCCCTTCCTCCAGCTTCTGCTGGCCCTGGGGGCTGGGAGACAGGCTGTCAATAGTTGGGGCCTCCCGATCAGGTCCCCAGGAGCCGCCACCTCCAGGATCTATGTTCTCCAGGCGCAAGGCAGGTAGCAAGCCCAGGCTTTGAGGCACAGATGGTTGGAAGGCCCAGGAGCTAGGAAGCCCAGAGGTCCCCTCATTACTGCCGCCATCACACCTGCTGGGGGCCATGTGGGCCAGACGGCGGCTCTGGGGTGAGGGGCTGCGGCTGGTGCCCCGGCGCTCACGGCAGGTGGGCCGCAGGGCGAGGCTGGGGAAGCGGGCCAGGCCCGGGCTGCGGCTACGGTGCCGCTTGGACTTGCCAGGGCTGGGGCTGCGGGACTTGGGTGCGAGCAGCTCCAGGGTGCTGTCATCCTCGTCTTCTGAGCTGGCACCTGAACTGTCTGTGCTGCTACTGGCCAACTCTGAGGTAGGCAGCGAGATCTGGGGGGAAGGTTGGTCACTGGAGTGCTCCGTTTCCCAACTGGCCACTGAGGCCTGTTGGAACCACTCCAACACTCCTCCTTGGCAGACCCAGGGAGTTCAGGCTACTTGCAGGAGGTTACAGAGCAGAATGTAGAGCTGTGGCATTTGAATAGGATCTTTTGGCACCCCTGACCCTGCAGTACTCAGAGTACCCCTGAGTACTCACCTGGAAGGGTTCAGTGACTCCGATGAGGATACTATGGTTGTGGCTGTAATAGCCCAGGATGAAGTCTCCATGGCCCTTGGGCAGTGATTCCTCACTGAATGTCACCTGGTGGGCACAGGGCTATAGGCTCAGGGAGGCAGCCACAGAATCCCCTAAGCTGAGTCCTGAGCCCCCAAGGGCAACAGGAACCTCCTCCCTTCCACCCCCCCTTGAGTACCTGGTAGATGTTCCTGTCCACATCCTCATGTTTGGCCCAGACATAAGCCACATAGTCCTTGCAGTGACGGAAACCCACCTGGGGTGAGAGGATTCAGGGCTGTGACTCCTATGGCCTGACCCCAGCAGCTTTCCAGTGTGGCATCGAATTCTGGAGAAGCCCATGATCCCACGTGGGTACCGGGCTGTTCCTCCAGGCCCTTCCTTCCCCAAGTCGCTGACCATCCCTGCCCTTCTCACCCGGTACAAGCCGATCCAGTCCCAGGAGCTACGGGCGAACACCATTTCCATGCGGTATTTCACCACAGCCTGCTCTGGCCGCACCCACTCATCTGCCACCTCCAGCCGCACCAGTGGCACGTCGTCCCTGAAGGCAAACTGCCCAGGGGCAAGGGACAACATCAGGGGAGGCCCTCTAGTATTTCATGCACCTAGGGCCCTTGGGCCTGAGTCAGCACAAATAGTTTGGGATAAGGGCTTTTGAAGCCACTGCAGAGACAGGGAAACTGAAGCAGAACAGGTCTAGGATAAATGCCAGGCTTCCTGCTATCTGGCCCAGGGCTCTTTCTGCCCATAGCCTCCTTAGGGAGTGAGAGCATAGCTTTGAAGCTAGTATACTATGGGTTTGGCCCTGGCTCTACCATTGACGGGCTGTGTGACCCTTGGGTGAGTTTCTCAACCTCTCTGGATGCCGGGGCTTTTGCCTGTAAACTCGGATGATCTTATTTAACTCTTGGGGTTGTTCTCAGATTCAAAGAGATACTGTTTGTAAAGCATCCCATAAACTTCCCAGTACACAGTAGGTGCTCAAGAAATGATTTGCCTATATGCTAGCAAGGGAAACATGATGTACTGGATATTCTGGAGCAAGCTAAACACGCCTGAGTGGTCAAGAAGAGCCCTGAGTAGAAGGCTGGAGACCTCAGTTCATTTCTAGGCTGCTACTAACATGCTGTGTGATGCCATGTAATCCCCTAACCAACCAAAGCCTCAGTTTCCCCACCTGTATTAAGGGCTGACTATGACCTTGTTATCAGTCCATGAAGACAAACTATAACCATGAATACCCTCTTCCCAGGGTCACCCACATGGGTGGGTTGCTGGGGTGACAGGTGGCCAGGGTGTTGGCTCTACCTCTGTCCCTCAGAGTAGGACTCAGATGGTGCCAGCCTCAGGCTTTTGTCTTTTCCCTATTTATCTGGTCTCAGGTTTCCCTCCCTCAGCTTCTGGGCCAAGCTGCTCCAGAAAAGCCAGCACATCCTCTCCCTACCCCTGGGTTCCTAACAATGGGTCTGGCCAGGATGGGCTCTTGGAAATGCCCTCCAGGGCCTTGCAGGATCAAAACTCCTGCTGAGCCCCATTCTGATTGTGTTGCTTTGGGTAAGAGACTTGAGTTTTCTGAGCCTCAGTTTCCCTTACCAGTAAACCTGGGAGGAGAAGTTGGACATCTTAGGGCCTACTAAGGCATTTGAAGGGATGACATATGTAAAGTACCCCACACAAGGTGTGGCATGGAGTAGGTGCTCAATAGGTAACGTTTTATAAGGGACAGAGTCCTGAATGAAAAGGGAATGGTCAGGGCAGGGTGCCCAAAGGGAGTAGTTCTCAAGGTGAGGGTTAAACCTCACGCCCAAGCCTTTTACCAAAGGTCACGAGAAGCCAGGCATAGGCAGATCTCCTTTCCCAGCTGAAGATATTGGCCAATGTCCCACTGACTGACCACATGACAAACTCACCAAGGAAAACATTCTCTGGCCCACTGGATTCCCTCTTATCAGATCAAGAGAATCGGAGAGCCTAGAGTTGAGTTTCAGGGCTGGAAAGATGCACTCTGCCCTGCTCTGCTGCTGAGCCTGTGTGTGACTTGGGGGCACATGGCTACTCCACTATGGGTCTCCGTTTCCCCATAGAAAAAGAGTTGGTCTTAGTTTTGATGTTCTGACATTTTGCACACGCACCCCCCTTTTGGGGTAATTACAAATCTCAATCCTAAACACAATGCTAAATTATAGTAACTATTTAGAGTTTAGCTTTGTATTTTTTATATCTCTACTCCCCCTCCCCATTACTACCTTGCTCTTATAGTACCAGGCATATGGTAAGACGGTAAATAAATAATGAATGAATGCTGCATGGGGTAAACATTTTGAGTTTGCCGATCTTATTATATATGTGAATTTTAACATAAGTTACCCTAAATTTTTCTTGGAAGAAGGTAGTTAGAGATTAGTGGAAAAGACACGGGCTCTGAGATCAGACTAACATGGGTTCAATTTCTAACTCTTCCCTTTACTGGCCGTGTGACCCTGGGCAAGTGATGCTATGTCTCTGAGCCTCAGTTTCCTCATCTGAAAATGGAGATCATAGCCCACTCCCACTCTGCTCCAACAAATGGGTGCTGCTGAGGACAGGTGCAAGGGTGGGCTACGGAATGCTGAGCTGGGCTTGGGGATGTCATGAGGGGAGGATGAGGCCAGGACTCACGTGTAGGACGAACTGGGCAGCCACAGGCTTGTGGTCACTGACTGTGTATTCCATGTGGCTGCGGTAGCTGTGCTGGGTCACCTGGAGCCGGTGGCTCTCCTGTCCTGAGGGGCTGCAACCTCCACCTGGAGCCTTGACCTTCCACAAGATACGGTCTGTCCAGGCTGGCTTCCGCTTCTTGGCACTGCAGTGGGCAGGCATAGTCCAAGCTTCAGGGGCAGCGAGCCAAGGCACAGCTCCCAGACTTACCTACTGTCCCTCTTCCCTGTCTCCCTTATCCAGAAGACCTCAACCCACATCCCCACCTCATCCCAATGCTGAGCTCACCTGGTGTCATATTTGTTAGTACCAACGTCAAACTTGAAGGTGGGAGCAAAGTTGAGGGGTCCCTCCTGGAAGCCCTTCAGGATGGGCCAGGTGTTCTTGGCCATATTGAGCTGTGAGGGTCCAGAAGGGCAGAATTGGACAACAGCTTGGGCAGGGCAGGTGAAGG